GTAGTAGGAGCAATAGTTGTAGTAGTAGGGGCAAGAGTAGTAGTGATAGCAATAGTAGTAGGAATAGTAGTATTAGGAGTAGTAGTAGTAGTGACAGTAGTAGTAGTGGTAGTAGGAGCAGCAGTACTTGGTGGAACAGTGATGGGGGCAGCAGTAATAGGAGGAGCAGCAGTAGTGACAGGAGGTGGCATTGGTGGACAAGCCTGCTTAAAAAATAGCAATGATCACATAAACCGGAGGATAAGCCGAGTTCTGAAAGCACTATCGGGCGCAGGACTAGAGCCCGCCGCTCGCGTCGCGCCTACGCATAGAGCCTTCTCGTTAAATGTGGTGCATACAGAAACCTGGTTATACAAAAAAAGAGAAGGCTTATTTTTGAATATCACAATTTATGGGCCTTTTCATTAATCTTCACTCGACTGTTCATGAGAAGTCGAGAGAAAGCGTGCTCTAACTCGGATCGCTTTGCATATGCGACGCGCCAGGCTTTAGTCCCGTACCTGAATACACTCCCATGGTGAGGCTTATCTTGCGGTTTTGTTGTATTTCCTAAATTCTATAGTGCTATCCCGTCTTGATTACGGTAACTGACATTTGTCTCAATATGCACTTCAAAATTCATAATCTCATAAACCATTAACCAGATAAGATATGTAGTTAAAGAGAAGCACTTACGAGCAGCGGAGAAGTGATCAAAGCAAGCAAGATGAAAGGAACTGCCATTGCTTTGATGTTGATCGTAAAATGTCCTAATTTCAACACTTTTATACAGATTGACGAGGATCGGCAATAATTATAGGATTTAGGGCGACTGCATGTTAAGTAAATGTTTGAAGTCCAATCTGGGTTGCTCGAGATGGAGAAAACAGCGCTATAAATACTGTTGACGGATTGGTTTCTAAGTTGACTTTCGGTGATGGCCTTTGGTGTCGTCATCGTTACCAGAGAATGGTTTATCCAAAGTTCTTTGAACATCTCTAAATGTACACTTCCAGATCGTTACTGTTGGGCTTGTTTTCAGCGAATCGACATACTTCTGAGTCCTTGGTTAAAGGCTGACATTTTAGTGCCTTTTCAAAACCTGAAAATTCGAACCATAGTGATACAAAAGACCATATTACGCAAATTATACCTCTTTGCCCTTCGTAGTGTACATGTGACTTGGCCTCGCATTGAAATCCATGGAGAAGTTAATATGTTTACCGGCAACCGTGAACCACGCTCCGTCTTTCGATTCTTCTCTCGACTTCTGATTATTAGCAAAATGGCAGTCTCCTAGCGATAATTTCGTGATCTCAATAAGGCGTTCCTCTGATGGTAGCAACGCACAAGTAAGCTCCACAAAGTGGAAAAATTTCTGACAATGAATTTTTATCAAACATTGTTGTGAACTCATCGCTATACCAACAGTTAAGAGTTACAGTCTTGTGTTTTTCAAACGTTAATTGAAAGGATCCTTTTAGGGGGCCGATTCAAAATTAACTCCAAAAACGACATACATGGAAGTATGGTGAAAGTAAGAAGTGATTTTAATGAGTTACGAATTTGCGGTTCTACCAGTTAGCTTAATGAAATAGTTCCTCAAAAAGAAGAGTAACTTTCACGTTTAGGATTCCCAGGACATCTAGTGAGCATTATCCAATAAACATTACATGATTACCAGCAGTAGAACAAATTCTTATGCCATCATCCTGGGATTTCGCACCAATTTAAGGGATGAAAGGCTGCTGATAGCTCACTACAGTGCAAAAAATAAATTCATGGTAACTCTGCCTCTTTTTTTAAATACAAGATCTGCCAAATGTAACACTTTGTTTAAGAAGGGAGTCAAAAAGAGTAAATAGTGAAAAACCTTATTTTTTAAAAACTGTAATTGGAGTAATTATAAGATCTTTCAGCTTTATCCTGGACTTTTTGATCTTTTGAGTTGATATCTAAAAGCAGGGTCAAGCGCAGCTTGGGACAGCCAAAGAGGAAGAAAGAGAATTGCAAGAACCCTTCATCCCTCTTTTTCTTACCGCTTCTCATTAGCAATCAAATGTGCTTCGCAATCTTCTGCAACATTGACTTCAACTAACACAGCTTGTGACCAAGAATGAGCTCCAATTATTTATGAATTTTCCCCCTAACACTCTCATACTTCAATATTTCATTAGCAGAATATAGCATCAACTGATCCACTGGTGGGGAGCTTGATCTTAACTCTTCAACAATTCATTTTTACTTCTTTGATGAAACCTGCCGCATTT